CAAAACCTATTCTGTATTTTGCTCTGCGCAGTTCATTGCTCTTAACACAAGTCCAGCAGCACTTTGTTACCTTGCTTTTTAAGGAGTCCTTGCATAAGACTGGTGATACTGCAGGTCCAATAGCTACAAATTTGGACTAATGATTAAGAATAGTGTGAATTTTGTTGCTATAATCATGCTTGTTAAAGATGACAATTCCAGTCTCTCTGTCAAATGTACTGATATCTATTTCCAGGTTTCTCTGTCTAGTTGTATGAGGAATTGTGCTGACAACCAATTTAGGACTGTTAGTTGGGCTTGCACTTGCATGTTACTGAAAGCCAAATGGAGAAATTAATGCACAGGATCTTGTTCTTTGAAGACTGAAGGAGTATGTGTACATACTGCACCAGTTTGGGCTCGACAGAATAGCTGACAGCTTTTTCCCAGGTGCATTTCTCAGCAATGCCCTAATCAATCGAAGTCCAAATAAAAACCGAGAACTGCAGCTGCTGTAAATCAGGAACAAAAGCAGAAGTTGTTGGAAAAGCTCAGCGAGTCTGGCAGCATCTGTGAAGAAAAGTCAGCATTAACATTTTGGGTCTGAGGCCCTTCCTCAGAACTGTGAATTTTGTTGCAGAACACAGTTCTGACGAAGGGCCACCATACCTGAAACATTAACAGATGCTGCTGGACCTGCTGAGCTTTTCCAGCAATTTGCTTTTGTTCAATCAAAATCAACTTGCCTGGTTTAAAATTTAAAGCCTGACAGTTAACTGGCTAGCTGTGTTCTCCATGGCAACACCCCTACCAATCAGAGTCCATTTTCCAACCAATCAATTTCTCCTTGTACAGTAAAATATTATTTTTCTCCTTTATTAGTATTTTTGTAAATTCACCTGGTGAATGAAAGGCGAAAAGTTTCGGCAATGTTCTTTCTCTTTTCAGCATTACTGAAGTTCTGTGCTACCAAGCATCCACAAAATGTGCATGTTTTAAGGGTGATCCTCTAGTTATCACCAACTTTGTGGAAATTGTCAAAACTCTAAGCCATTCAGCCTAATGCATGGATAACTGAAAATCAATAATACCTGATGCCTTTTAACTTTGGTATGCTTCATCCTGTAATTCTTAAGCATGACCCAGGAATTAATTTTTAACTGAAAGTCCTTTTTCTGCAATCTGGGAGTGACTTGAGTTCACACAAATGAGCTATTGATGGTTGTCTGTTATGGTTTCATTGGTTTGGGTAAACATGCCTTTAGGTTGGTAGGTGGGGGTTACCAGCAGAACTTGCATCTTGTTCAGGACTAATTGTCACAAATTATCCTGATCTTTCAACCTCTTGACTCTATGTATCAAGAACATTTAACCTATTTTCTTTTCACCTTTCTTGCAGAATCCCATCATTACGCAGTTTTTTCCAACACTCCTGCTATGGTGTTTCTCTGCACTTCTCCCAACCATTGTTTACTACTCAGGATTTTTTGAAGCGCATTGGACAAGGTATTTTCATTTTAATTCTGCATTTCTATTGTGCGTATTTCAATTTTTAACCAAGTTTTCTATTCTATATGCCTGTGAAAATGGTATAAAATTTGCTGAGTTGGAGTCCTCGTTGTTTGTTTGTGTAATGTTCGCAATCTGTGAAATCTTTTACTTTGTATACTTTATTGTGTAAAGATTGATAATATTTATGGAACAAACGGTGCCAAGAGTTGTCAGGTGGGAACCTCCAGTTCTGCTCAGCAGTTGGGGGAAGGCTAATTGCAAGTTGGTCACTAAGGATATTTTTGGGGGTCGCTGTAGAGGAGTTCAAAGTTAGTCATTTGAAGAGACAAAAACTGCACATTTCATGGATGGCAATGCTGCTGTTAAAGAAGGCAGCTGAACTACGTGGGATTTGTGTAGGGAGGATTTAGGGAAGTCCTAGAGCAACTGAATAACTGTTTGAAGTGAAGATTCTGAAGTCTCGAGCTGTGGGAGCTGATTTAAAACAAAAAGTCTCCAGCTGTAGAAGCCAACAAGTAGTATTGGCTGGATGCAGCTCAAGGAACAGCCTAGGGGCAGTTTTAGTTTGGTGAGGCTTGCTACCAGTGAAAAAGCTGGAGCTCTGTTTGCAGCTGAGTACTTATAATGCAGTTTGAGTCCAGTGGAGCGTAGACCAAGGGAGCAGGGTGGCGATCAATCAGAATGAAACCTGTTTTGGAAGCAGTTCATTATACGTCGGTTCTTGTGAAGAAGTTTCAAGGCCATGTCAGCAAAAGTGAAATATTGTAAGCCCTTGTGAGGTCTAATGAGATTTGATGACCCAAAACGTCATTACCAGCTGGAGGGCATTGCTGAAAAATCTGTAGTATCTGTCATAGAACATAGAACATTATAGCGCAGTACAGGCCCTTCGGCCCTCGATGTTGCGCCAACCTGTGAAACCAATCTGAAGCCCATCTAACCTAAACTATTCCATTATCATCCATATGTTTATCCAATGACCATTTAAATGCCCTTAAAGTGGGCGAGTCTACTATTTTTGCAGGCAGGGCATTCCACGCCCTTACTACTCTCCGAGTAAAGAACCTACCTCTGACATCTGTCCTATAGCTTTAAATTGAGGGGTGATAGATATGTCCCCTCGTGCTAGCCATCACCATCCAAGGAAAAAGGCTCCCACTGTCCACCCTATCTAATCCTCTGATCATCTTGTATGTCTCTATGAAGTCACCTTCTCTCTAACGAAAACAGCCTCAAGACCCTCAGCCTTTCCTCATAAGACCTTCCCTCCATACCAGGCAACATCCTGGTAAATGTCCTCTGCACCCTTTCCAATGCTTCCACATCCTTCCTATAATGCGGTGACCAGAACTGTATGCAATACTCCAAGCGCGGCCGCACCAGAGTTTTGTACAGCTGCAACATGACCTCATGGCTCCGAAACTCAATCCTTCTACCAATAAAACCTAACATACTGTACGCCTTCTTAACAACGCTATCAACCTGGGTGGCAACTTTCAGTGATCTATGCACTGTCATGATTATATTTGCTATACGTTTTAGCTGTGGGGTGTTTAATCCTAGTCTATAACCCATATTTGCGGTCTGGCCCTAATTCTCAGACTCTGCCTCCTAGAATACCCAACCAGTGAGCATAATTTCTCTTTATCTACCCTGTCTTTTGTTAATATCTTGAAGGTTCAATCCGATCATCCCTTGCTCTTCTAAATTAGAAAAAAATTATATAATCTCTCCTTGTAACTTAACTGTAAAGTCCAGGTATCATTCTTGTAAACTTATTGTACTTTTTTTAAAGGTAATTCTGGGAATTGCATTTGGAATTGATTTTGGTGGACTGTCTATCCCCAGAAATAAAATCGAGTAAGAGACTTGGATCAGATCAAGGCAAGAGAATATAGAACAGCACAGTACAGGCCCTTCGGCCCACAATGTTGTCGACCTATTATCCTACTAAAATCAATCTACCCTACATTTTACTATCCTCCATGTGCCTATCCAATAGTCACTTAAAAGTCTCTAAAGTATCTGACTCCACTACCACTGCTGGCAGTGCATTCCACACGCCCACCACTTTATGAAGAACCTACCTCTGACATCTCCCCTATACCTTCCTCCAATCACCTTAAAATTATGCCCCTTCGTAATAATCATTTCCGCCCTGGGGAAAAATCTCTTGACTATCCACTCTATCTATGCCTCTCATTATCTTGTACACCTCTATCAAGTCACCTCTCATCCTCCTTCGCTCCAATGAAAAAAACCCTAGCTCCCTCAACCTTTCCTCGTAAGACCTGCCCTCCGGTCCAGGCAGCATCCTGGTAAATCCCCTCTGCACCCTCTCTAAAGCTTCTACATCTTTCCTATAATGAGGAGGTGACCAGAACTGAAGACGATATTCCAAGTGTGGTCTAGCCAGAGTTTTATAGAGGTGCAGCATAACCTCACGGCTCTTAAACTCAATTCCCCTTCCATTGAAAGCCAACACACCATATGCCTTTACAACCCTATCAACTTGGGTAGCAACTTTTGAGGGATCTATGGACGTTGACCTCAAGATCCCTCTGTTCCTCCACACTGCCAAGAATCCTGCCATTAACCCTGTATTCTGCATTCAAATTTGACCTTCAAAAAAGGAATCACTTCAAACTTTTCTGGGTTGAATTCCATCTGCCACTTCTTTGCCCAGCTCTGCAACCTGTCAATGTCCCGTTGTAACCTACAACAGCCCTCCACGCTGTCCACAACTCCTCCATCCTTCGTGTCATCAGAAAACTTACTAACCCACCCTTCTACTTCCTCATCCAAGTCATTTATAAAGATCACAAAGAGCAGAGGTCCCAGATCCCTGCAGAACACCACTGGTCACCGAGTTCTAGGCTGAATACTTTCCATCCACTACGACCCTCCGTCTTCTATTGGACAGCCAGTTTTGTATCCAGACAGCCAAATTTCCCTGTTAGTAAGTGAAATTACTAACCTTGAGTATATCCCGTCTGGCCCAGGGGACTTGTCTGTCCTCATGTCTTTCAAAATTTCTAGCACATCCTCCTTCCTAACATCAACCTGTTCGACCATATCTGCCTGTTTCATGCTGTCCTCTCAAACGTCAAGGTCCCTCTCACTGGTGAATACTGAAGTAAAGTATTAATTAAGGACCTCCCCTGACGCCGCACACAAATTCCCTCCACTGTCCTTGATTGGCCCTACCCTCACTCTGGCCATCCTCTTGTTCCTCACGTAAGTGTAGAAAGCCTTGATTCTACCCGCCAAGGTTTTTCATACCCCATTCTAGCTCTTCTAAGTCCATTATTCAGTTCCTTCCTGGCTACCTTTGTAGACCTCTAGAGCCCTGTCCGATCCTTGTTTCCTCAACCTTAAGTAAGCTTCAGTCTTCCTCTTGACTAGGTTTTCCACATGTCTTGTCATCCAAGGTTCCCTCACCTTACCATCCTTTCCTCAGTGGGACAAACCTATCCAGTACCTGTAGCAACTGCTCCCTAAGCAACCTCCAGATTTCTGTCATGCATTTCCCTGAGAACATCTGATCCTAATTTATGCTCTGCAGTTCTTGCCTAATAGCATTGTAATTCCCCCTCCTCCAATTAAGTACTTTCCCATACCGCCTGCTCCTATCCCTCTCCATGACTATAGTAAAGGTCAGGAAGTTGTGATCACTCACCGAAATGCTCTCCCACCCGAGAGATCTGAAACCTGACCTGGTTTGTTGCCAAGCACCAAATCCAATATGGCCTCCCCTCTAGTCAGCCTAACTACATATTGAGTCAAATCCTTCTTGGACACCTGACAAAATCTGCTCCATCCAAACTATTTGCATTTAGGTTCCAGTCTATATGAGGGAAGTTTAAGTCACCCATGGCAACAACTCTATTAGTTCTGCACCTTTCCAAAATCTGTCTCCCAGTCTGTTCTTCAGTGTCTGTTGCCATTGGGGATCTATAGAAAACTCCCAATAAAGTGACTGCTCCTTTCCTGTTTCTGACTTCCACCCATGCTGACTCAGTGGAGAAACCCTCCTCGACGATCTCCCTTTCTGCAGCTGTGATATCATCCCTGATTAGCAATGCCACTTTTACCTCCCTCCCTATTTCTTTTGAAACCTGTATAACCCCGTAACATCCATCAACCATTCCTACCCCTGTGTTATCCAAGTCTCTGTAATGGCCACAACATCGTAGTTCCAAGTACTGATCCATGCTCTAAGTTCGTCACCCTTTATTCCTGACACTTGCATTGAAGTAGACGCACCTCAACCCGTCACACTGTCATTTTGCCCTACTGACTGCTTATCCATCCTCATAGATTCTCTGCTTGCTGTATCTGTCTGTACACCGGCTACCCCATCCTCTGATCTATAGCTCCGGTTCCTAACCCCCTACCAAACTAGTTTAAACCCTCCTGAAGAGCTCTAGCAAACCTCCCGCCCAGGATATTGGTGCCCCTCCAGTTCAGGTGCAACCCATTCTTCAGGTGCAAACCATACAGGTCCCACCTTCCCCAGAAGGTATCCCAGTGATCCACAAACCTGAAGCCCTCCCTCCTGCACCAGCTCTGTAGCCATGTGTTCAGCTGCACTCAATCTCTGTTTCTGGCCTCACTAGCCAGTGAGATTACTACTCTGCTTGTCCTGGCTTTCAGCCTCCATTCTAAATCCCTGTATCACTTTTCAGGTCCTCATCCCGTTTCCTAGCTATGTCACTGGTAACGATGTATACCACAACTTCTGGCTGCTCTCCCTCCCCCTTAAGAATCCTGAAGACTCAATCCAAGGCATCCCTGACCTTAGCACCCGGGAGGCAACATACCATCCGGGAGTCACGCTCGGTACCATAGAATCTCTTGTCTGTTCTCCTAACCAGTGAATTTCCTATAACTATGGCTCTCCTATTCTTACCGCTCCCCCCCCCCCCCCCCCCCCACTTCCTTCCCTTCTGAGCCACAGAGCCAGGCTCAGTGCCAGAGACCAGGCCGCTATG